GGTGGGCATCGGCCTGGGTCTGCCGATCACCACTCTTGGTCCTTGTGTCCCACCCTCTGATCCCCCAAAAGGTGAGGGTTTTCAAGGAGCTAAGAAAGGAGAAGCTGGAGAATGTTCTGGGTGGCAGAGGCCTGGCACATCTTAGGTGGGAGCCGCGTGGCCCTGGCACCACCGCAGGGTGTGGCCGGGAGCTGTGGGTGCAGCCGAGGGTGAAACAGCGCCCCGTCCTGGGGCCTGCTTGGGGGGTGCAGTGAGAAGGCAGAGGGCGTCTGCTCGGGACCCAAGGCCAGGCTTCAGTTTGTCTGGAGTGGCTGTGGTGGACGTGACCTGCAGGGAGGGGGTGGCCGGCCCGGGCAGGCCAGGCTTTGGACGGCAGCGTTCAAGGCCTGTGTCAGGAGCCTGGCCTGAGCCTGGGCTCGCTCACCTCGGGCGGGTTGTCCTCTGTTGAATGTGGACCAGTCACAGCAGAATCTGCCTCTGGGGTCCGGGGCCAGCTGTGGTGGAGCCGATGCTGGTGTCTTCTCTTGGTCCTTGCTGACTGTGGCTGGTAGGCAGGCCAGGTCCTGGTCCCTCGGACGGCGCTCCAGAGAGGGAGCCGTTTGCCCGGGTGGGGACTTGGGTCTAGTGTGGCCGGCCCCCGCACTCTGGGGCTTCCGTTCCTGGCCTCAGGCACTCCCAGTCTAGCAAACGGTCCTGTCGAAACAGCCAGCGAACAAGACCCGCTGGCCAGGCCCCAGCAGCAGCGTAGTGACCATGGCGCTCCCATGGTGATGGGGGCAGCAGGCGCTTGACTTTCTGCGTCCTGCTGCATGTGAATGTTCGTACCTTCAGCTGCAGAAGCGCCCCTGACTTCAGGGTGCTCTGTGACAGCCCCAGTGCACCCTCGTCCCCGGACAGCCCGATAGTCCCCACACTGGGACACGTCTCACCGCAGGCTTGGGGGAAAGGCCCGTGGCCGCAGGAGCACAGTTCTGTGTCCTGCCCCGCGTCCCCGGCTGGGTGCACACCGTCAGTGTCTCCCAGCGTCTCATGCCGTCATCAGGCGGTTCAGCAGCAGCAGTGACCACAGGCCTTGGTGGAGTGGACTTGCAGGGTGGTGAGGACTGGGCAGTGCAGCTCTGGGGACCGGGCCTCCCGTGGCTTGGCACCTGGAGTGTGCGTGGGCCTGCCTGTCACAGGCCACGCCATGGGGGCCATGGGAAGCCTCGTTGGCCAGACCCAGTTTGGTGGGAACCAAGAGGGAGGCCAGGCCTCCAGGTGGTCAGGCAGGGGAGTCCAGGAAGACCGTGCCAAGGAGGGGATTTGACTCACCCCGCTGGGACGGGCACGTGTCTCCAGCGGGTAGCACTCTGCTGGGTTTCCGTAGAGGGCTCCACACTGCACCCCCAGCTGCGTCCTCCCCCGAGAACACCCGCAAACAGACAGAAGCCAGGAAGTGAGGACCCCCCTCAAGGTGGTCACCAGCCCGGGAATGTCGGCTCCAGCCACTTGGTCTTCGCCCTCAACACCAGCCTCTTGAAGTTGTGTTCTGCGATTCTGCAGCCCTGGGAGTTGAGCTCGGGCGCTCCTCCACTGAGCTGCGCCCCAGGCTGTTTAGTTTCACTTTGAGACAGGGCCTTGCTGAGCTGCCCAGGCTGGCCTCGCGCTTGCCACCCTCCTGCCTCAGCCTCCTGTGTCCCTGGGACTGCAGGCCCCACCTGCCCAGCTAAGTTTCACTTTTTTATTCGTTCTGATCCCTGGTCAGTAGGTGTGCAGCCCCCCGTGGGCCTCCGCTCTTGCCCACACGCTCCGTCGGCCTGCAGTGGCCCTCACTTCCGCCTTGAGCTTAGCCTGCGCTGTGCTGGCTGCCCACTGCCACTGCCCACCTCAGTTGGCCCCGTTGCCACCCTCCCAGGGCATCACAGTGACCTCATCAGGCTTCCCCCACCCTGGACCCACTGCCTAGGCCCCTGCTCCCCTCTGCCTGTCCCTGCTCAGACCTTTCCCTGGCCCTTGTCACTTGGCATCAAGACGGTCCTTACGGTGGCTGACCTCTGCTGCCTCACACAGTAGCCACTGAGCGCATGTGGCCTTGACCGCGGCGATATGGTAGGTCCACATTGAGACGCACCAGGTACAAAATGCACACAGGATTTTGAAGACAGTTAAGGGACGTGAGCTGTCTCACTGCTACACTCATGGTGGCTGCACACTGAATGGTCATGGCTGTGCACCAGGTCACCCAAAATACGTTATTAAAATTCATTTCACAGCCAGGTGCTGGGCGCGCGCCTGTGGTCCCAGGTCTTTAGTGAGACGAAAGGGCTGAGGATGTCTCAGAGGTTAATTGCTCCGGTTTCAATCCCCAGGATAAAAAAAAGAAATCATTTTAACTGTTTCATTTTACTGAGAAGTTTAAATGCCATATGTCTAGAATGCACCTCCCCATTAGGGACATTGGAGGAGAAAAACTTTTAGGACAGCATCTGTTGCATCAGATATGACGTAATGTTAGCTATTATGATGATTTTTTTTATTGTGATAAATATACATATGACCTAAAATTTACCATATTAACTTTTTGATGTTGTTTTGGAGGTGCTAGTGGGGTTGGAACCCAGGGGTGCTCTACCACTGGGCCACATCTCCAGTCCTTTTTATTTTAACACAGGGTCTTGCTAAGTTGCCCAGGCTGGCCTTGAACTTGCAATCCTCCTGCCTCAGCCTCCTGAGCCCCTGGGATTGCAGGTGTGCGCCACCGTGCCCAGCTCTCTTTAGCCACTTTTACCTGTACAGCCCAGTGGCATTAAGTGTGCTCACAAGGCTGCACAGTCATCACCACTGTTTCCAGAATTCTTTCAAACAGAAACCCTGTTCCTGTAGGACAGTGACTCCCTTCCTCCCCTCCCCCAGCCCCTGGGCCACGTTCTGCTCTGCCTCTGGGAAGCCCCCCGTCTAGGACCCTCACACCAGTGGGATCATTCAGTACGGTCCTCTGTGGTGGATGATTGTTTGGCGTGTGTCAGGGCTCACCCGCGTCATGGCGTGGGTCAGCGCTGCCTTCTGAGGCCGACTAGTGCTTCCCCTGTGGACACGCCATGTCTGGGTTTCCATTCTCCTGCTGATGGGCGCTTGGGTTGCTCCACCTGTTAGCTATTTTTTTTTTTTAACTATTATTTTTAATTCACAATCTGGCCCCTGACCTTCCTTCTGTCCTCACTTCCCGCTGATTCCTGCCCCTCGCTCACTCTACTTCAGCCACTTTGGCCTCAAGCCAGACAAAGTCCTCCTCTGGGCCTTTGCACAAGCTGTTCTGTGCTCCACACCCTTCCCTCTCCCTCAGTCCCCTCCCTGGCCTTCCTGAAGACTGCAGGTCCCTGGCTGGTCTCACAGGGCTTTGCCGCCTTGGCACTTAGCAGTGTCCGCTGCCATCTGGTTCACATTTGCGTTGACTTTACATTTAGCCCTAGTCTGTCGCGTCTGGGAACTGATTTTGGGTGCTGTTGTTTGTACAGATCTAGGTCAGGATCAAATACATGCAAATTAAATATGTTAAGATACCTTCCATAGCATGTGTTGTCTTACTGTTCTTTTCTGTGTCCACCCTGACCCTCGTCAGATGGGTCAGTGTAAAGGGAACAGGGACCTTGGTTTTGTTCCTAGTCCCCTCAGCTCCTAGAACAGAGCCTGCGTGTAGCAGGTGTGCTGAGCACTTAGCCCCTGAGGAGGTGAATGTTGACCAAAGAGGAACCTGGAGGATCCGAGGGACCCAAAAGAAAGGGACTGCACGTGAAGGGCTTCAGGGGTGGATGGCTCAGGGGCAGGCAGAGTGTGTGGGCTCAGATCTTGACTGAAGCCAGCGCTGTCACTCATTTCCTGGTTGATCTTGGGTTACTGGCACACCCTCTCTGATCCTGTGGCCTCATCTGTAAGATGGGTTTTTCAAAGAGCCTGTTTACTCTAGCGATTGTCACACCCTGGCGCAACCAGAGGCAGAAGGCTGTTCCGCGTTGGGTGCAGTTTCCCTCATCTGTCAGGTGGCGGTAAAGGTGCCCACTCTGCAGGGTGGTCCTGAAAGGCTAGCCCGCTTCCTCCCTGGTGACAGTGGTGATTTGTAAAGGGGCGGGAGACGCTGGTCCGGCCTTGGTCGGGAGTGGATGTTCAGAACCTGCCGTACCGAGGGTGCTGTGGGTGGTCTGGCCCTGGAGGTGGCCCTGAGGCTTCACCCCGGCTTTCCTGAGCCCAGCTCGCTGTCCCCGTATCCCTCCTGTGCGCGCTGCATGAGCTTCCGCGTGGTTTTGAGACAGGCTCAAGGCCCAGGCTGGCCTGGACCTCCCGGGGCCTGCAATACCACTCCGCAGCTGCTGCCAGCTCAGGTCATGCCAGCCATTGTAACAGGTGAGCCCTCCTGCAGAGGGGCACAGCACGGTGACAGTTTCCTCCTGATGCCTCAGGCCAGTGAGGCCATCCCCTGCATGCAGCCTCTGTCCCCTTCCCTTCCCGCCTCTGCCTCCTGAGCTTGTGGCACCCACCCGCGGCTGAGGAAGGGGCCCTTGGGATGGGGAGGTGCCTTGTGAAAGCCTCCGGTCACTTCCACCTCCCTCCAGGTGGCCATGTGACCCCTGCAACCACTGCAACCACTGCGGCACCGCCCAGTACATTCCTGCCTCCGGGCCTTTGCACTTACTGTTGCCTTCCTCACATAGCTCCCGTGATGTCCCCAACGTCACCCTTGCTAGAAACCTCCCCTCCGCACCTTTTCTGGCCACTTACACCAGCTGATACTGCATTCTGGATTAACTAATTAGTTTCCTAGTTCATGTTTCTTTAGGATCAGGGCTGGGGCCTAGTGGACACTGCTCAAGTTTGTTGAGCAAAGGTCTCAATGCTGGTTTCGCCGTGCGCACCTGGAAAGTGGCTTCTCCGAGTCGGGGTTCTGGGGGTCGAGCTGGAGGCCCAGTGGGGCCTGGAAAGCCTGCTGGGGACAGAGCGCACTGGCGACACTGGAGAGCAAGAGCGTGTCCGCTGCCGATTTCTTTTTATTGCTCGGGTTTTTTTTGTGTGTGCAGATCATTATTCATAAAAGATCTGCTTAGAAACAATGCGGCTCTGCTCTCCTGGCTGCTTGGTGGCCGTCCTGGGTTCACCTCGTCTTCTGAGCCTCCCGAGGGACCACAGTTGCAGGGTGGGCTCACCATCCTCCCCCCCAGTCTGTTTGTCCGCAGTGTCCAGGTGTCTGCTCCTGAAGTGGGTGCTGCGAGGCGGGGCGGCGAGGTCCCGCAGACAGCCGTGTACGCGGGGTTCCACGAGGTTCCGTGGCTGCCGGCCTTTCGGGTTCAGGGTTGGGCAGCGGCCGAGCTGGCGCCTCCTCCTTCCCTGAGCTGCCAGTGGGGACAGAAGGAGCAGCGCGTGGTGACCTCGGCCCGCCCTAACCACCTGTGGACGCTGCGGGTGTGCCCGGGAGGGGCGGTGCCCGTGGGATATGCCATCGGGGAAATCGGGTTGGAATGCTGAGCCCGAGCCGGTAGCGGGGTGGCCCCCAGGACATACTCCTGCTAAGGTATTAAACCGGCCGCATTGAGCCGGCACCCGGCTCTGTGCACCTGGCCAGCGGGGTTGCAGCCGCCTGCGCTTCCCCAAAGCTCGTCCTCCTCATCCTGAGTCACCTCCTGCCCCGGATTGCCCCTCTGGGCACCCCAGGGTTCCTACGAGTGTGGTTGTCTCTGACTGTCGCTGGGCCCCCTGGGCCGGGTCCAGCCATGGGGCGGCAGGACCGAGCACAGGGCGGCTGGTCAGCTGCGCCTCAGGGATGGAGCGGAGCTGCTCGGGCCCTGCCTTCAGCCAGGGCGGAAGATGCCATTTCCAGTGACTTGCTGCCCCGTCCCCGCCCCCCAGCCACAGCCTGGCACTGTAATTTCTGAAGCAGCTTCCAGAGAGCACTGTCCCCGGAGGCCTTAGCCGGCTGCCACCCTCCCCCAGGAAGGCGCAGCTGAGCTTCCTCCAGCCTCAGGAGCAGGGCTAGGGCTGTGCTCCGCCCTTCTTGGGGAAACTCTTATCTTATGGATTTTTGTCATTTTTCTTGGAACTGAGGACACATTCCCAGATACACCACTCGGAGCGGACCAAGTGTGTCTGATGAGATCATCCCCTCCCCAGGTGAGAACAGTGGGGCTTATTGAAAGAGAGGTTCAGGTGCCTCCCCCCCTCTCTGTCTCCCCCTACACACACGTGTGCACACACTCTTGAAGGCACTAGTGACAGGATAATCTACACCTTTCTGCCCTCTGCCTTTTAGGAACATGGCAGGATATTCTGATTCCTCAAGCGCACCCTCTTCACAGCCTCCTAGTACTCCACTGGAAGGTGGACTTACTGAGTCGTGGCTCACAGGAGGCCCCTGGGCAGTGAACCTGGTGCTCGTCCCCAGGTTCCACGTGGATCAGCACGCGGCTGCCGCTGTGCTGCTCCTCTTGTCCTTGGTGCAGCCCGGCTCCCCTGCAGCTCTACCCACACACAGTCACTGTGCGCTCACAGCCCAGGGGTGGCGTCTCCCCCACACCACAGTCCTCTGGCTTGATCCAGAGATTGGGCCTTTTTAAATTTTTTACAGTTTTCAAATTGAGGACCAGGAGCCGCCCCCCTGAATTGTGCCATTTGGGGTATGTGGCCCACAGAGCTGTGCCCCGTCTGACTCCAGAGTGTCCTCCTGGGCACACAGGGAAGGCTCTGCCCTGGGGCGGGTACCGCTCGCCACCGACCCTCTGCATTCGGGTCTCTGGCCGCCACTCATCTGCTCTGTCACACGCAGGCTTTGGGTCTGGACACTGCGTAGATGGAATCAGGCAGCACGTGGCCTTCCATGTCCAGCTATGGTCACTCAGCACGACGGCCTGGCAAGGTGCCCGTGCTGCAGCGTCTGTCCCTGGCTCTTTTCTCCCCTCCCGTACTGGGGATGGACCCCATGGTGCTCTGGCACTGAGCCAGGGTCTCATGAGTTGGCACGGCTGGCCTCTGACCTGGATCCTCCTGCCTCAGCCTCCCAAGCAGCTGGGGTCCCAGGAGGGCCCCACTGCTCCCAGCTGCTTTCTTCAGCCACGTGATATTCCATTGTCTGGACAGGACAGGTTTTGTCTGTCCATTCGTCCACGGGTGGGTGTTTTTGGTGTGGTGCTGGCCAATGGACCCCAGGCCTCACCTGCCGGGCAGGTCCAGCACGGAGCTGTGCCCCAGCCTTGAGCAGCTTCAGGTGAGAAAGTGCATTTCATGTCCCGCTCTGTTTCCAGACCGGAGAGGGAGCCACCGTCTGACTGCTGTATCTTTAACTTCCTCCCCCTCTTCCCTGGTCTCTCCATCTTGACTGGGTACACAGACCCCGCCCCGGGCCCTGCTGGGGTGCAGCTTGGTTCCCTCCCTGCGCAGGGTGCAGGCGGCAGGCACCGCTGGCTCTGTGGTGCCGGTCAGGGGTGCCTGCCCCCTTCTTCCTTGCTGTGTGACTTGCGGGCAGTACCTTCTCCTCTCTGAGCCTCGGTTCCTTCCCGGGGTGGTCCCATTTCCGTCTTAGCCTGGGCTTCTTCCATCCTTCACTTAGACATCGCTGGGCCTCTCTGCAGTTCATGCCACTGGAGCCACCAGACGTCCCTCTGTTCGCTTAGTCGCTGGTGCCTGTCGCGGGCCGGGCTCGGCTCTGGGAGTGTGGGTGCCACGTAGCAGACAGAGGTCCCTGCCCCGGAGTGACCTGCTGGGTGCTGTGCAGAGAGGGTGGCGGCAGCTGGTGTGTGAAGGGTTGCTTTAACCAGCCCTTGTGAAAATGGTGACATTTGAGCCAAGACCTGAAGGAAGTGAGGGAGTGCGCCTGTCCCTCCCAGTAGGAGGGGTGTGTCTGGCAGAAGCTGCAGCAGGTGCCCAGGCCCGAGGCCCAGGCGGGCGGCGAAGGTCCCTCCGCAACGGGCGACGGCTGTGGCTGGAGCCGTGTGGTCGGGTGGCCCGGGTTCTTCCTTAAGGGACTTGGTCAGCTGTGGTGAAGGGACGGGGGACGCGACCACCTAAGAGTGCTGTTGGATGTGGTTTGAGAAGTGCGTGCCCTTGTGCGACCACCACTGCCATCAAATCACGGAGTACGCCCACCGACAGCACCTGCCATCCGCCCTGCCATCCGCCCTCTGGCCGTGGCCACGAGAACCCGGGCTGCCGTCGTTCTCTGTGTCCTCTGTGACTGGCTCCCGGGTCACAGCTCTCAGTCCTTCGTCTCTATTGTTCCCGCACATTTTATCCCCGATGCCACCGTAGATGAGTGGAAGGGGCATCACAGCTGGCGCCTTGGTGTCCTGCTCCCGTCACAGGATTGAGACCGCTCTCAAGGCATAGCCGTGTCCACTGCCTCTGCCGCTGAGCAGCAGCCCGTGCTGCGGGCGCCCCTGCTGTGCACGCAGCGCCAGTCCCTGGGTGGACCTGTGCTGTCATTCTCTTGGGTGAACACTGAGGGTGGCATGGCGGGGTCGGTGACAGGTCTGTTCAGCTCGGCCAGGTGCACACGGTCCCCAAGGTGTGCCCCATCCCGCCCTGCCCCGTCCCTCCCCTGCCCCGTCCAGGCCTGCAGTGGGGTGCAGTGAGGCCCAGCGTCATTCTAATCGCCTGGTGGCTGAGGTGTGCAGAGGCTCCCTGGCCCCGGGCCATCGCGCCTCCTCTTGGTCGCTGCTCCCGTGTCCTGTTGTGAGCTTTCTTCCTTGTCGCGGGTCCTACCTGTGGCCTGCCATCTGTGCCAGTGGAGCAGAAGGCTGGGCGCCGACCTGGATCCCAGACCCGGTGGGTGGCCCTGGCTGTGGTGGGGACACCGGCCATGGCCCCGGGCTGCTCGGTTCTCGTAGGCGGGATGTTCCAGATTTTCAAGAATAACAGACACCTGGGTCCCTTTCCCAAAGCATTTTTCCTGGTTTCTAAAAGTTGGCCCACAGAGGCCTCGGTGTCCCGTCCAGGCCCAGCCGACCTCTGGAGCGCGGCCCTGGGTGACGGGCCCTTCCCGGGTCGTGGCCACGGCCCAGTCTTGGAGGGGCTGCCTTGGCTGGGACACCTGGCCCTTCACAGCATTCCTGGCGTCCAGCGTGAGCCACCCCCTCATGCCAGCGTCTCTATTGGGCTGTCACCAGGGTCCCTGGCATTAAGACAGGCTGTGACAAGGGACTGGGGAAGCAGCCGCTGCCGGGCGCAGTGGATAGTCGAGCGCGGGAGCAGCAGGGCTCCTGGCTGGGAGCAGCGGGGCGTTGCTGGACCACGAGGCGCAGTTCCCACGGCCTTGGTTTCCTCTCAGAGTGACAACACGTCCCGTGACTGGGCGAGACCCGTGGACTCCTTCAATCCCACAACAGCCCATGAGCCAGGGCAATTTGGAGAATACAAAAGTGCCCAGAGCCTCTGTCAGAACGTGGGTCACCTGTGACACACTGCGTGTGTCAGGCAGAACACCACCAGCCCAGGAGGCGGCCTGTGTATTATTGTGTCTGTTTTATAGATCTAGAAGCTGAGCACAGAGAGGGGAAGTAACTCCCTTCAGGTTGCACAGCAGGGGGGCATTAAGCAGAGGGCAAATCCAGGCAGTGCGATCCCACAGCTGGCTAACCTACATATTTTGAAATGATTTGAATTTTATTGAAAAGTGGCAAAAATAATATAGAGAATCCTTTATTGAGATTCACCAGCTCTCGACATTGCCACGTTTGCCCTCTTCATCCTCTCCCTTTCACTCTCAGTGAGTCTGCAGAGCAAAGCGTTCCCTGACTTCAGTTTTCTCATATGGAAACCCGGGTGCTGCACGGTGCACGCACGTGCTCGCTTCTCCTGAGCCACTGGAGAGTGGGGGCGCGCTCGTGCTCCTCTGCCCCAGCACCTCTGCATTGGGTTCTGGTGAACTCTCCTCTGGTGCCACCTCAGGACCACAGCGGAGCGCCAAGCTGAGCCCTGGCTCGCGGCCCGCACCTCTCGGCTCTCCCAAGGCAGTGGCGCTGCGATCACACAAGTCGCTTTGCATTTTGTCCCTTAGGTTTCCTTCAGTCGGAGGTGTTTTCTCAGCCTCTTTTGTGCTTCTTGATGCATGAGCTGTGTCCCCAGCTGACACTGATGTTTTAGGAGAGTCCAGGGCACTGTTTGGTAGAATGTCCTTGGACTTGAGCTTGCCTGATGCTGCCTCTCAGTGAGATGCACGTGACGCACCCAAGGTTGGAATTTTCTAGCTCATGTTCTTAACCACTTTAGGGTTCTTCCTTTAAAAGTAGAATGTCCTGCTGGGCACCGTGGTGCACACCGGTAATCCTAGCAGCTGGGGAGGATGAAGCAGGAGGATGGCAAGTTTGATACCAGCCTCAGCAACTTAGCAAGACTCTGTCTCAATATAAAAAACTAAAAAGGGCCAAGATGTGGCTCAGCAGTGAGCACCCGGGTCCGTCTCTACTCACACTGCAGAGTCAACCGCCCGGAGGGCTGGCCGCCTGTCCTTGTCCTCGTCCAGCGCTGGGCGTGCTGTCTGACAGTCTGTTTCACTTACAGTATGTGCATTTGAGGGACATGGAATTTCAAGAAAAAGTTACAAACACAGCCTTGACGTTGTGAGAAAGAAATCACCCAAGCTCATTGGACAATAGAGGAAAGACAAGGGAAAAAATGAAATATTCAGATTTCCAAAAGTGCAGAGAATGCCAAAGTGACTTGCAACCCTGCTCCTGCTTGGACCCACTTGCTCTCCCCTCGCTCTGCGGCGTCGATTCTGGTTCTGATAAGGGGCACGTTCTGAGAGCTGAAGGGGGGAAGCGCGCGCAGGAGGGCAGGCTCGACCGGGGCTGCGGGGACAGGCCGGTGGTTGTATCCTGGGGGGAGAAGCTCTGCCACTGCGGGTTGTCCCCTGCATTTCTGCCCTTCTAAGTAGACACTATTGTCCTCCCGAGGAGGACTCGGATACTCAGGTCTTTAGGTGAACAGGGCTAAGTTCCTGCAGGAAGCACCCCCCACGTTTCCAGGGCACCTGCAAAGATCTCCCTGCATTGCCAGCCCCCATGAGCTTGGCATGGGACCCCGAGTCAAGTCCAAGGCCGTGCCTCACCTGCACAGGAGTTGCTATTTTTTGTTTTATTTTGGTGGAACCCAGGGATGCTTAGCTGCTGAGCCACACCCCCAGCCCATTTAATTTTGAGACAGCATCTTGCTAAGTTGCTGAGATTGGCCTCAAACTTGCAGTCCTCCTGCCTCAGCCTCCCCACCCGCTGGGATTACAGGTGTGTGCCATCCTGCCCAGCCCCACACACGAGGCTGAACCATACTGCACTGAGGGATGTCTTTCCCATGTTGTTTTGAAGCCTGAGCCCAGGGATTTGAGAATGGCAGCCACTAGTATAGTAATGCTCACATCCTGTGAGCCTGGTCCGTGAACTTCCCCTATTCATTAATTTAATCCTCCTGATGATCTTGTTGTGGTGACATGGTTATTGTCAGAGGTGGAAACAGGCACAGAGAGGCTGAGTAATCTGCCCAAAGTCACAGAGCTGCTTAGTGTTAGCAGGAGATTAGAACACAAGTAGTCCAGTATGTGTGGCAGCCTCTGAAGAAGCAGTTTGCCTTATGTTTAACCAGATGACCCTAAGCCCGATGGTGCTTTGGAATTAGGAACAGATGACCCACTGAAGGCAGTGGTGCATCCTGTGATCCTAGTGACTCGGGGGGCTGAGGCAGGAGAGTTCCGGGCCAGCCTCAGCACTTAGCAAGACGCTGTCTCCACACACACAGTAAATGGGGTTGGGGATGTAGCTCACTGGTGAAGCACCCCTGGGTTTAGTCCTCCAGTTTTGTCACAGCAAAACAGATAACCTTTTCTTGTGGCCCTTACTGCCATCTGCCAGAACATTGTGGTCATCTACGTACAAAGCTCTAGTGTCCTAAAGTGAGAGCATACCTGTTTCACTCCGTGTTCTCGCAGCTGTGACTGAAAGATCTGACCAGAACAGCTGTAGAGAAGGAGAAGTTTGAGGGCTCACGGTGTCAGAGGTCTCAGTCCACAGAAAGCCAGCTCCACTCCTCGGGGCTCGAGGTGAGGCAGGACATCATGGTGGGAGGGGACGGCAGAGGGAACCAGCTCACATGGCGATCAAGAGGCAGAGAGGGAGACTCCTCTCTCCAGATATCAAATGTACACCCCATGTCCCTGCCCCCAACGAACCAGCCGCTCCAGCCACCGCTCGGTTATGCCATCAGGGTTGATTCACTGGTCAGGTTGAGGCCACCGCCCAGTCGTTTCTCCTCAACCTTCTGGTGTCTCACACGTGAACTTCTGGGGGACACCTCACATCCAGACCATAACAGGACCCTCTCCGGGCTTATGCAGCATGGAACCTGCACATCTGTAGGTGGCTACCCAGAGGTGACCGAGTGTTTTCTAAGTGTCTGCCTCAGAGAGGACAGTGAATGTGCCCATGGGTCAGTCACTGAGCAGATGCTGGTCAGTGTTCGAGAGGAAGGCCCAGGGGGTGGGGTTGGCGGAGACGGCCTCCGTTAAGAGGTGACATTTCAGCAGGGCTGAAGGAGCCAAAGCAATGGACGGCCGGTCCCTGGGGAGAACCCTCCGGGCAGAGGCAGCAGCCAGAGTGGAGGAGGTCGTACTGGCCGCGGGGAGGCCGCGGGGCCAGGGGAGTGAGCTGGGGGCAGGTGGAGGAGCTGAGTGCCCTGGTGGGAACCTTCCTCTGAACGAAAAGAGCCACCCTGTGAGAGTGTCCCTGTG